ACAAAGAACTCTTACAACTCAACATCAGAATACAAATAATCTAATTTAAAAGTGGGCAAAGGATCTGAATAGACATTTTTCCAAAGAAGATATACCAATGGCCAACAGTTACATGGAAAGATGGCATCACTAATCATCAGGGAAATGAGATCAAAACCATAGTGAGATACCACCTCATACCTGTCAGAATGGTTGTTATAAAAAGACAACAAATAACAAGTTTTAGTGAGGATGAAGAGAAAAGAGAATCCTCATGCACTGGTGGGAATGTAAATTGGTGTAATCACGATGGAAAACAGTATAGAGTTTCCTCAAAAAATTAAAAGTAGAACTACTTTATGATCCAGCAATTTCAACTTCTGGGTATTTCCATGAAGAATATTATGGAATATCATTCAACCACAAAAAAGAATGAAATCTTGCCATTTGTGACACCATGTGCTGATTGAAATAAGTTGGACAGAGAAAGACAATTACTGTATGATCTCACTTATATATGGAATTTAAAAAACAAAACAAATCAAGCAAAATGATAACAGACACATAGATACAGAAAACAAACAGGTGGATGCTAGAGGGGAGGAAGCTAGGGGTGAAATAGGTCGAGGGGATTAAGAGGTACAAATCTCCTGGTATAAAATAAATAAGCCAGGAAAACATAATATACAGCATAAGGAATAAAACAAATAGAAAACAAGTCAGTTTCTTAGCTATGCATTTTTAATATGTTCAGATAAATTCAAACCATTTTTTAGTGTGTTGAGATAAATTTTTTAAAAAATTAAATTGCTTGCAGTCTTTTTCAGTGTTGCATGTTATTGATAATAGAATTGAAGTAGTTGATTGCTTTTATTGTTAAAGTTCTGTAGGCCAGGAATATTTTTAGTGAAGAAAATTTTTCTGTATTTTCCCTAAGGTACATGTAATTCTGCTAAACAAATGATAGTCTTCATTCCACCTTTTTTTATTGAAACATATAAAAATTTTAGCCCAGGTGTTTTTTATCAGCATTGCTATTTTACCTTTCTTCATAGTAACTTTCTATAATAAATACTTTTAGATAACAAAATTCATCAAATAATATGCTCTATGATTTTTTCAGTGTCTTGTCAGACTTAGATGATGGAGAAAATATTGCAGCAACATTGATGTCCCTAGAGTATGTCATTCTAAATGAAATAAGCTAGAAAGAGAAAGAAAAATACCATATGAGATTGCTCATATACAGAATCTAAAAAAAAAATAGAAAAAAAGAAAGAAAAAGACAAACGAACATAAATACAAAACAGAAGCAGACTTATAGACATAGAATACAAACTTGTGGTTGCCAAGGGGGAGGAGGGTGGGAAGGAACAGACCGGAAGTTCAAAATTTGTAGATACTGACAGGTATATATAGAATAGATAAACAAGATTTTACTGTGTAGCACAGGGAAATATATACAAGATCTTGTGGTAGCTCATGGTGAAAAAGAATGTGACAATGAATATATGTTTGTTCATGTATAACTGAAAAATTGTGCTCTATGCTGGAAATTGACACAACATTGTAAACTGACTATAACTCAATAAAATAAAAAAAAGGCTTTCTCAATTTTATTCTGTTCTACAGACTGTTAATATATTCAATTTAAAAAGGAGACTTTAAGAGTTATTGTCAGAGTGCAAGTTATTCTGTAGCTTAATTATAGATTTTCAAAAATAAATTATGTACTCAATGTTTGAGCTCTCATCTGATTTTCCAAGTTCTTTTATTTTGATTTGTTTCTGTATGAAAAAAGTTTTATTCTTTACATTTCCAAATTTTGGTTTCAAAAGTTTCAATTATCTGAAAGTGTCAAATTTGACCTTTTTTTTTTTACAATTTAAAAATATTTCTAACAAAAGAAGTTTGAAAAAATTAATCAAAATTTAGAAAACCGTTTTACAACATATTTCAGTATCATTGTAAGACAATTAGATTGGTTTACAAGATTGCTTTTTAAAGGCTTAAACATTTCCATACATTCAATGAGGGTGAGCAACAAACAGAGAAAGTGTGAAAACCTTTTAATGTGTAAAATGTGTTTGTGTGTGTACAGAAGTGATAATATACTGCTTGGTATATTAGATTGGTAAAATATTGTATATTATTTAGATATAGTTATTAATTTTGCATATATATAAAACCAACTCCAAAGATTATTATCTTAACTCTGACTTTGTAATTTAAAACATTTATATTTTTATCTCCCTAAAAGCCTGTAATTTTAATCTTCAAGTTTGAAATTTTAATTATGTTAGAATTGTCATCACAGTAATCTTGGATGTTTCACCATAGAATAATTAAGTTCCCAAAGCTTTACTTAGAGCCCATGAATTAGATAAGAATATTATTATTGGGATTAGTCTAATTTACTATGTGACACAACTATTGAGATTAAATTAAACCTCATGTCCCTAACCATTTGCAAAGTGCTTCTTTGGGAGCTAGAGACAACTCATCAACAGTTGTTGCTATACTTTTTGTATATACACAGAAAAACTTGAGATTAAAAAAGGGTGAAATTAATTTAGAATAGTCATTTAATCTAAATGAAAAGTCACGTTCCAAAAAGAGAGAGATCAGTTCACTTTAACTATTTTAATTAAATCAAGACCTACTGCCATCTGGATCTTTGCTTTTTATTTTTATTGAAATATACTTGATTTACAATATTATGATAGTATATAACATAGTGACTCAAATTTAATTTTTTTTAATTTTCTTTTTAAAATTTGCTGTTGCCTCTCCTACAGATTTATGATTTGATTTTTATGTGGTCTGTGGTATCACTATAACCCCACATATGGTGAGTGATGAATGTCAACAAACATTTTGTGCAAGTCGTAACAACTTTTACTACTAAATTTTTTCACTAAACACCTATTTCTTGGATTTTAAATATCTTGGTTCTTTGCTACTAAAAGAGTTTATTGCAAAATGAAAGTTTCAGAAATGAGTGAAATTATTGGTTGTGAATATTTAGCCTAAAATATATGACAGTAACCACTATAGCAAAGGTGTGGAGGCCACTACAAACTCTAGCAGGACCCCTCAGCCTCTATTTCCTGCGTATATTTCATGTGCACTTAACTTCTGTTTTCCTGCATTTCATATGACCCTCCACTAAATGGAGTCTTAACAGTTTTGTGAAACTCACAGGCTATAAGACAGGCCAGGAACCACGTGCTGAGACAGCAAACGGTGCAGGGGCAATAATGTCAAATACTCCTCTATCACTTGAGACCAAAAAGTGGTACCTATCTGTGTTGTTTAATATCGGAGAAAGCTTTGTGTTTTCATGCATATAATACCAGGTGTAGTTCCTTTGTCTCTGGAAAGGATCAGGAAAAGATAGAAATGTTACAACTAGTCACTTCCCCCCCCCCAGATTATTTACATGCTAAAGGGAATATTCTGTTTACTTAACTGGTTCTCACACACCACTGGATTATACCATGGCCAAACCTGGAAGCAAAAAAGTGGATGTTTACCATACCCAAATAATGATAAAGCAATCCATAATAAGAATTCTTAAAAATAAAAAAGATTTTGAAAATTTGGTACAAGTGCTAAAGTGAATAGGATGTAGGAACATCAAGGATAAACTACTGCTTTCTTAAGCCAAATGATAGGTAAATTCACCCTGGATATGGGTGAATTGACTCATCTAGGAAGGGAGAGGTAAATTTGAGTGTTGATGATGAGTTTAACTTGCCCATGATCAGTTGTTGATAGCTGTGGTATATCTGAGTGGCAGTGCCCGGAAGATGTTTGGAAATAGTGCTCTGGAGTACAGGAGAGTGTTGAAAGATAGAAATACATATTTGGAAGTTTTCAGCGTATGGGCAGTAGCTGAAATCATGTGAGATGAAAGATTAGGTAAGACATTTTGAGCACTAGTATTTGTTGAGCATTTCATTGACAGTTTCTGGGAATAGGACCAATGGCCTTTGTCTAGATATTAACAACAAAGGAGAGTATGTAGTACTATTACTTTACTCTAAATTACTTGTGTATTAGTTTCCTGTAGTTGTTATAACACTTTACCACAAACTTGGTGGTTTAAAACAACAGAAACTCTTTCACAGTTCTGGATGCCAGAAGTCCAATAAATACTGCTGGGGCCTAAATCAGGGTGTTATCATGTCCACATTATCTCTGGAGGCTCTAGGATAGAATTTGCTCCTTGCCTATTCCAGCTTCTGGGGGCTGCTAATACTCCTTGGCACATGGCCACATCACTCTAGTTTCTGTTTCTGTCATCACATTGTTTACTTCTTCTCTTTCTCTGTCATAAAATCTCTCTCTGCTTTCCTCTCTTTAAGGATACATGCAATTATATTTAAAGCCTATTCTGGTAATCCAGGAAGATGTCCCCATCTCAAGATCTTTAATATAATTAAGTGTACAGAGCCTTTTGCTGACATGTAAGTTAACATTCGCAGGTTCCAAGGATTAGGATATGGACTACTTTTTTGGTGAGGGAAGAGGTGCTATTATCAGCCTACCACAACTTGTATCTACCTAATCAACATCAGTGTGTAGATTTTTCATCATCTCTAACATCACCCCTGAATTTGGAAGGCTTGGGTGAAAAAAAAAAAAGTGATGTGAAATATCTCATCATTTTTTATTGACTCTGAGTTGAAATGACATTTTGGATATGTTGTATTAAATAAAATATGTATTTAAAATAATTTTACTTTTTAATTTTTTTCAATATGGCTATTAGAAAATTGAAAATTGCATATGAAGTTAATGTTACGGTTCTTCTAGGACTAACCTGGAATGTGTGTAAGTTTTAATCTCTTTATTTTATAAAGAAGTTGCTATTTTCTTACAAATAAGTAATTACATTTCCTGAAGGCTGCATACTGTGTTAATTAACTGCTCAATTTTATTCTATAGGTATACTCTGCTTTATTGTAATCTATATTTATTCAAATTATTTACTGCTGCTTTTCTTCATTTCACAGCAGTCAACTAACAGGACTTCCTATGAAATCACTGACCACCGTGTGCTCCTCCAGCCTCTTTTAACTCCTAATTCTAGGAGCCTGAGAACTAAAGCGAACCACAAAGAGCCACAAGCACTTACCCTCAACCCTGATGAAGCAGTTCACAAAGAAAGTCTCACATGGTGAGTGTTAAATTGGCTGGCAATCTATTAGAACTAAAAAGAAATGAGGTGATTTGGGGGAGTTGGTGAGAAAATGAGGGGAAATTGTTTGTGATGGTGAGGGACCCAAGGAAAATTTGTGGGTAGAAGAGTCTTCCAGGAAAGGAGATTTGAGATTTGAGGAGGCCTGTGGAAGAGTTGGAGACAAGTCCTCAGAGGAGAAAATCCAGGAGGTTTTGAGCAGTAAAGGTCTGTCAAGAGAGAGAAGGAAGGACACTACTGTTTACTAAGACTGCACTGTCCACTGAGTACTTTCATGTATGTTATTCTAAATGTATTTATAATATTCATTTTTGCACACAAATTGAGGTACAGAAAGATGAAATGATTTTCCCAAGGTCACAGAACTAATAAGTATCGGGGCAAATTTAGGATCTATCAATTAATGGGTGAATATTCCTTTAGAGTGTGAATCTGCGAGGGTGGAAAACATGGCAAGAAAATTTGGGACACTTCCATGATAGAAATCTATGTGTGCTTCGAGTTGGGGAGAGGGGAGGCAGGCCAAGGAAATATTTGTACCTGGAACCATTGTGGCAGCTGTCAGAACACACCACATCCAAAGGGCTCAGAAGAAATGGAATATTGGTTGGCCTTTTAACTAGTGAAGGTTTTGAATTTGATGAGTTCCCTAGCATCCCACTGTATTTCTAATAAACTTAGACCTTTGCATTTTTAGATAAATGCCTGTAAGAAATACAAGCATAGATAAACTTCAACAGAGCTGAAGCACCATGAAAAGACCAGTTCAAGTTTTAGATCACTATTAAAATGGTGTTAAAAGGACTATGCCAGCTCATAATTAGGTGACTTAAAGGTACCATGATACCACTTCATCCTTCAGAATTACCAATTATATGTTTCTCAGTGTATCCTATTCTCTTTAGAAATCATTTCATTTTCATTTCACCCAGAACTTGCAAGGGCTCAACACCTTTTCTTCAAATATTAGCATTACCCTTGCTTCAGAGGACTCTTTTATTCTTGGTCTCTGAGAGACGTTATTTTATTGTTGCCCTTCCCTGACACACTGTTGGTCTTTAATCACTTAAGAATTCAATCTGTAAGTAGATAAGAGAGTAACTGCTGAAGAAGAGTGGAGAGAAGAAAATCCTAATAGACTTGGCCCAGCATAAATTTACTAATAGACTTGGCCCAGCATAAATTTACCAAGTCCAAATATAACTTTTATTCTTGCTGCTCTTTGGCAGCCTCCTTTTATTAACTGCTTGGGGTTTTCCCTAGTCTGAGTTCTCAATATTCTTCTTCACTTCTAGCTGTTAATCTTGCCTTTCATTTAGTCAAAATCAAGACACTTGACCCAAGCTCTCTGATTTCACCTCATTTCAGTCGATCACTGTCTCTACATACATTTGGTTTCATCCTTCCCTGAAGTCTGAGGAAAGAAAGCATTTTAAAGCAAGTATCTTTAACTAAGCTTTAGCTCAAATACCTTTTTGTTTTCTTAAAAAGGTAATTGTCATATTTACTTTTCTTCTATTATCTTGAATTTTTCTTTGTTGACTCTTACAGACATGGTAACTTTTTTTTTTTAAGTTTTGGCAAATCAGTAGGGAAATAACATATTATTCTTTAAATTAACCTTTTTTGAATTATGTGATTGAAAATTTAAATATTTAGCAGTCGTTTTTTTCCTGCCCAATGAATTATCTTTTGAATATTTATGCCCCTGTATCTATTGATGATTTAGTATAGATTTGGCAATGGTTTTTAAACTTACTTATGAATTAATATTAAGCATTTATTATTTCTATGACAAATACGTTTTTGTTCATCTTACCAATGTCTAAGAAATGGTAGAAATTTCAAAGGTTTAATTTTGTGCAGGACATTAATCATTATTTCCCTTTGTGATATCTTCAAATGTTTCTATACTTAGAATGTCACTTGATTTCTATATTTCAGATTAATATATACTTAACTATGTTTACATTTCTGTTTTCATTTTACCAGTGTAAAGTTTTGAATTCATGTGGAATTATTTTACTCTTTCTCATAATGTTACTAATTTATCATAGGTCATGAAAATAGCAAATCATCTTTGACTTGTCCAGGTTAATTCATAATCCATGTCCTTAATTTAGAAGGTACAGTTTTCCAAAATTAAATCATATTCGACAACTTTACTGATTATTCTATTAGACAGTAGACATAGTAATGATAAGAATTATGTCATATTTGTATTCTAGTACACAGTATAATCCTTAATGTGTTATTTAATACTATGTATATATTTAATGGGCTTTCAATAAATGTTTGCTGAATTGGATTACAAAATTTGGTTATTACATTAAGTCAATGCCATGGTAATTATTTTATTAATGCTTTTCAGGCTGTTCTTGAAACTATGCTTTTGACCAAGTCAATTTATATATCATTCAGTTGTCCTCATTGCTTCTATATCCTTTCTTATTTCTATCCAGCTTCTGACCATGTTGGCATAATCTCCTCTCTGTTTCTCATTCTAGCATTTAGCTGCTTAATTTCGAAGGGCACATATTTTCTCAGTGTTTCTGCTTCTTTTCAACACTTCAGATGACCATCTATCTTTATTCTCTAGGGCTCCCTATCTGCATGAGCTTTTTTATGAGACTGGCCTTGTCCATTTATAAATATGGCAAGCTTCACTCCCCTAAAAGTCTCTACACTTTAGGCTTTCTTATATTACCTGCAATATGAACACAAAGACATAGTTGCTTGGTTAGTTGTTTATTGACCATATATTTTATTTTATGAGAATCATTTTAAATAGTGCTAGCTTTAGCAAAGACCAGAGGGATTCGGAGATTCCCAGTTGGAAATTGTTAAGCAGATTGTGTTTGCTAAGGAAAGGAACTCCATAGTGGATACATAAATTGTTTTAAAAAGATAAAGGAAATACAAGAATGAAAATGCAAGAAAAGCAGGCACATATCCTGGTATTTTTCTTAATATTGGAAAACAGCTTCCTATGTAGTCAAATGATCAAACTTTCTTAGAGGAAAGAGGCTAGAGAGGAGGGACAGGTAGTTAGAGATGAATGCAAGGAGCTGAACAAGAAAATAGTATAAAGATCTTGACAGAATAAAATTAAGCACCAAATGACCAAGTGTTTGTTGCCTTCTGTAAATTTTTTTTTAAGAAATAGACTTGAAGAAGAAGAAACAGTTGTACATGTTGTTTTAAGACCAGTGAGAAGAAAAATGGTAAGTCAGAGACTAAAACTGTGTGCTTATGTCGTAAAGTAAGACTTATAGAAAGAAGACTTCACAGTCTTGCCTAAGGACACGTCTGTTCATCTTCATCCATGTACTAGGCAAATAAAAGAATGTAGAGGTATTTCCTGTCTTGTATAACTCCACAGGTTCACATTTTTGTATGAACTATATCATAATTTTTGTAGGAACTTTAACATAATTTTCAAGTTTAATAAGCATAAAGTTATAGACCTGTAATGTCTCTCTGTGATTTATTAAATAATCACTGTAAGTCAAATACTATGCTACATTCCTAAATCATGTTTCATTTTATTGACACAGAAACCCCATGAGGTAAACAAGTGTAATATCATTTTACAGATGAGGAGACTGAAGTTTAAGGAGATCAGGTAATTTGTGGGGGTCACAAAAATATAAGTGGCGTAGCTGAGAAATTAAACCTAGGAATCTGATTAGTCATCCATGGATTTAATAGTTGTATTTACAAAATATATTGCATATTTGTTTTCATTAGTAAGTGGTAATACTAATAACAATGTACATTTTTATTGATGACTCAGAATCTTAACAATAGTCATTTAAAATGATGAAAGTGATGTAGTTAATTGGATTAATTCTAAATATAAAAGGTCATATCCTCTCTCTGGATCTTCTGAATAAATCCAAAACCCCATTACCTTTTGATAACTTTATTTATTGCAAATGTAAGAACTAATAAGTAAAGTGAAGTGGGTACCTTGGTAAAGAATGTTAATACTGAGACAGCTGTCTCATCATGTTAGCCTATGTAGCAATACTTGATAATTCCAAAATTTAGAGTGGTAGACTATTGAAATATAATTCTGCTTTTTAAAATTTCTTTGGAGATTTTAAACGAAAGAGAATATTGAAGAGTAAAGAATCTACTAAAGGTCAGGTAGGCTTATGGGAATGATAGCGTTGAACAGACCAGGACTTTTTATCAGGAAGGTGAGTTTACTTATTGCTTCAAAGGAAATGTATAAAAAAGAAATTAGGCAATGAAAAGAATGTTTTGTTGGTTTATTTTTGTTATGCTATGACATGCCAGCTGGAATGTTTCCATTAACCTCTGCTCCCTTGCTGCTGAAGGGATAGCTTTATGGCTGAAGATTGCTTCTAATCATCTGAGTTTGGGGAAAAGAGCCCATTATAGGCCCTTTGAGTTTATTGTTCCATTTGAAAAAGAAACCCTAAGAAAGCCTTTCTTGATTTCTTTTTTTTTTTTAGCCAGGTTTGTTGTTGTTGTTTTGGTAAAATACATGCAACATGAAATCTACCATCTTAATCATTTTAAGTGTACATTTCAGTGGGATAAAATGCATTCATAATGTTATGCAACAATCGCCACTATCCAATCCATCTATATAACTTTTCCTCTTGAAGAACTGAAACTCTATACTCATTAAAAAATAATTTCTCATTCTTTCTTCCCTCAGCCTCTGCCAAACACCATTTTACTTTTTCTAAGAATCTGCCTACTTTAGATACCTTATATAAGTGAAGTCATACAGTATTCATCTTTTTGTGACTAGTATGTTTGACCTAGCAAAATGTGCTCAAGGCTCATCCATGCTGTAGCATATTTCAGAATTTCCTTTGTTTTTAAGGCTGAGTAATATTCCACTGTAATTATATACTTAATTTTGCTCTTCTACTCATCCATTGATGAGCCCTTGGGTTGCTGCCATATTTTAGCTATTGTGAATAATGCTACTATGAACA